TTCTGAATTTGTGCTGTGAACTATAGAAAATATTTTGATGAAGATATAATATGTGATTAGAAATGTGTGTGTTGTTGGATTCTTTGGTAAAATATATTAGTGTCCCAATTTCTTTCAAATTATATGAGTATGAACAGCTTGTAACCTTATAGTGTGCAATATTCTGCAGTAATGAAGACCAGCAGCTTTGAAAAGCCATTAGTAAAGTGGCATGGAAATATTTGTCAATATGTAAGAACTCCTTTATAGGCTTTTTTTTAAGTTGGCAAATTAAAAAAATATTTCCCTTTTAACAGTTTGATTGAAACTTTTATCCTCTTTTGGGGAACACTGTGCATGAAAAAGCTAACACTATATAATGAACATGAGGTACTGAGTGTAAACACAGTATTGTAGAAATTTCCATTATGAGGATTAAAAATAAAAGAAGAATCAGTAATGTTTAATTTAGAGCTAAAACAGTTCATTAAGCTCTCTCGTTATTAACAGGATTAAAAATAAAAGAAGAATCAGTAATGTTTAATTTTGAGCTAAAACAGTTCATTAAGCTCTCTCGTTATTAACATTTTTAATGCTTGTTAAACTTTACTTCCCTTTCTGGAAGAGTTAATGTGAAATAAAATTTTGGACCTTAATGTTCTCAGGGTATACTTTGGTAAGGGTTTTTCACACTAAATTGAAGTATATATTGTTATTCAATACAATATACAATAAATAAATAAAATATATAAGCTTGGATATTTGTTCAAATTTACCTGACTCCTATGAATACAAAATGCCTGGTTGTTAAAGAAGCAAACTCCTATTTTGTTTGTTGCTTTGTTAGGCTTCATTTAATTACAAATAATACATTTAATAAAAGTATAACTGTTTGGTTTAGGTATGTAAATGTTAAACAACATTTATAATAGTTATATAGAAATAACTAGAGAAAGAAATTTAGCTGGTAGCTTCTTAATACATTACAATATTGATCTCTTCACATCCAGTTTTAGGTTAGATTTTAATAAATGAAATCTAGATTACATACCACAGAAAGTGCTAAAAACAGCATTACATGGTTGATGTTTAGGTAGAAACATAACCAGATTAGGCAGTCCCTCATCATCTTGCAATGTGAGGTTAGTTTGGAATGTAACAAGATTTGAAAGTGAAGTGAAACGTTCTAGAAAATACGAAGCAAAAAACATGAATGACATTAAAAGGACCATAAAACTTGGGAAAACAAGTTGGTATAGAAAAGTATTAATAGATATGCAGTGTGAATTGGACAGTAAAAACATGACTACAAACAGCTATAACAAGAAATAATTTGATGATGAAGAACTCACTTTGAAACAAAGTTTAGAAATGGTTTGAATGAATAATGAAGAAAACTTAATTACATTTCAACACAGTAATGAATGTACAAGGTTTTACTACCCATTTGACAGCAGGAAAACAACAAATCTAATAATGCAATGATCACTCTTTCCAAAATATTCTCCTACTTCAACTCTTGAAACAATATCATCATTAATTCTGGTCGGAATTCTGAACATGTGGTATAGGAAACCATTATGAACCACTTCAAGAAATCTGTCTCTCTCACCCTTTGACTTCATATAATCTCAATCATATTGTCCAAACGTACCCTATATTTATTGTACCATTATTATTTTTCGTAGCAACCATGATCTTATTATACAGTTTCTCATAGACCTCATCTGTCTGATCAGGTGGCCTATAAGATTTGCCAGTTAAAAACATTCTACTTTTTAAATCATTTATCGTAATTTATATAGATATAACCTTATGACTACAGTTTTCTTCAGTTTCAACAGGCTGCAGTTCATCCATCATAGAAGTCATCCTATTCCCTTTTTACAAGAGTCCATCACTATTAACTTACAAACCACAATTCCAAAATAATTCCTATTATGAATACTCTCCAAATGTCCGTAAATCACACTATATCATAGTCTTTCTCTTCAACTAATCAACTTTTATATATTTTATTCTTGATCCGTTTATTTTTAAACTTGAAAGAATCATATTTAAAAATATTATTTAACAGATTATGCTCTATTTCCCAACGCTCTAGCTATCCTGTCAATTTTTTTATTCCAAATTTTTCATGCTCCATTGTCACTGTGCAAGTTTAGTTTAAACAGCTTTAATGATTTTACTAATACTTCTTCCAAACGTTCTATTACCTGTTTTTTTTCTGATCTACACGCTGGTCCACATTGATTTACGCGTTTTGTTTTAATGCTACGTCGTACATATGCATCTTACTGTAAGTTATAGTATAATGGAGGTTGTTGCAGTTATTTTGATTTAAAAATAATTATCTCCTAAGAAATAATTACTAATCAAGGGTGCTTCCAAGATTAGACAATCCTCCTTCACCCTGCTCGTGGCATAAGGTTAAATTTCAATTAATGGTCAGCGGCTTATTATGGGCGAATAAGAAGTAATAATAATTAATTAATTTTAAAAAAATATTACATATATATATATTCCCGTATATATACGTATGATGGTGAGGCAAGTAGGCGGAAGTGAAGGCAAGTCCCAGGCTATCAGAGGCCGGTTGATCTTTAAAGAAGGAGCAAGTCGGCAGCCGATTTTGACAAGTTATCGAAACAAAATGAAGCAAACGGGGATGGCGGGGATCAGTGGATCAAAGTGCCAAGGCTGGGATCTATATATCCAATGGCAAAGAGTTTGATGTGGGGGGAAACGAGAGTACCCCGAGATAACCCACTTTCACTAGTCAGGACCAAATAGAAGCCCGACTAGTGCTCAGGTGAAGATCTATTGACGGGTTGAAGACATGGAAAGACACTGAACAGCGAAATGGTTATGCAAAGAATATAGTATGTTATAAGTAGTTGTGTGAATCATGGAGGTGTGGTAGTGGTGTTGTGTATCATGTTATATGGGGACAGGTATTTGCACCATGGTTTGGGGGTGGCGGCAATTTTATGAAATTCGGCTGTGAGTGAATTTCGTTGGGCGGCTTTTTTGTAGTATTTGGCGGCGAGTTTAGATATGTGTTCTTGTATAGTGTGTAATGATGTGTGTTTTTCAACGTAGCACGCGGGTGTGTAGTGAGGGAGGCGGTAGGCGAGACGTATTACTTTGTTTTGCAGTTTTTGTAAAATCTGCTGTTGGTTATTAATCATGTTACATGTAATCATTGCGCCATAATCTATTAATGGTCTGATGAATGTTTTGTAAATGTACATGATTATTTGTGGTCTACATCCATGGGCGTGGTGACTAATTTTGTGGAGGTAAGCTATTCTTGTTTTAATTTTCTTGCAAATTTCCTTATAATGCGTGTGCCAAGTTAATTTAGTGTTTATGATTATTCCTAGGAATTTGGCGGATTTAATGAATGAGATTGTGTTATTGTAGAGGTTTAATTTAGCTAGCTTGACACACTTGAGTCTTTTGTTTAATCTTCAGTAGAGTATGATTGCCTGGATTTTAGTGGGATTGAGTATTATCCTCCATTTGTTGCACCACTGTGTGATTTTGTCAAGGGCTGTTTGAATTTTCTTTGGCGCTAGTGGAGGGTCCCAGGAAGTGCTCCATAGGTCTATATCGTCGGCGTATTGTGAGGCGTGCGTGAGAGGCGTGGTTGGCTGCAGAAGGTCGTTAACGAAGAGTGTATACAGCAGAAGGCTTAAGACAGACCCCTGCTGTACACCTGCGTTAAACGTGAAGGGTCGTGAGACTGAAGTGTTGATTTTAACTTCGCCGATCTATTGTATAAGAAGTTAGAAATCCATTTTGTGAATGTTGTGGGTATTTTGTGTTTTATTAACTTGTACTTAAGCTCGTTGTGTTAGACAGTGTCAAAAGCTTTCTGTACGTCTAAGAATGTGGCAATAGTGGCCTGTAGTTTATTAAATCCTGTAAACGTGGTTTCAATTAGTCGAACCAGGTGGTCAGCAGTCTATATGTTTTTGCGTCCCGCATTCTGGATGTGTGATAATGTATTGTTGTTTTCTAGCATCCATAATAACCTTGTCGTTATAATTTTCTCTAGAAGTTTGCCAGTGCAGTTAATTAAGCTTATGAGTCTGGAATCACTTGAATTTATTGATTGGGTGCCTTTTTTTTAGCGATAACCGTGATAAGTGTTAACTTCCATGCATTGGGGAGATAACCCGAAAAAAGAGATAGATTGTATAAGTTAGTGAGATGTGTCAGAAGTTTGGAGGATGCATTTTCACTGCCAGGCTTTTATACTAACGAAGAAGGCATCACGAACACACTCGGACTTCCCCGATCATTCGAGAAACTCATCACGCACGCGCCGGCAGCCTCACGTGACTTCCGCTGTCGTAAAAATACTTTATTTGGTAATTTTATCACTTTTTCAAAAGAAAATTATCATTATTTGATCAGGTTTTTTTATTTATAATTAGGAATAAAAAGATGGACTGAAGTTCAGTTTCTAAAGAAAAATTATAGGAATTTTGTTTCTATGAAACAAATGTTGTAGTGTACCTGAGTAAGAGCTGCATCAAACAGCTTACATGCCTGGTCATTGCTGGTTGATAAAACAAGTCCTTCCTCTGCCCATGCCTGAGAAGAAAGAGGTAAAATATTTATATAAATGTTATAAAATGAACATAGTTGAAACTTACAAGAAACCTCTATTAAAAATATGAACAAATGTATTACCTGTTTTGAAATTAAGATAACATATAACTACATTTACATTGAGGCATATGTCAAAAATGCATAAACATCTGATGATATGTCACAGTTGTCTTTAGCAGTTTAGCATCATTCGAACCAGATACAGTATTTACAGTGTCCGTAATGTGAGTTCCCGGTCGCTATATACGATAAAAAAAAACACTAAATAAAAATGTTTAGGACTGGATATGTCCTGCAGATGAAGTTGTGATGTGATAGCTGCATATTATAAACTATTTATGTTTAAATCATTAATGTGTTAGGAAATGTTTGATTTATGTACTAAAAATGAGCTATTATATTAGGTAATAACCTGAATAAATTTCAAACACAATGTTGAAGGATTACCGAGAACAGAAATACATCTTGCGTCATTATTCCCGCTATGTACAAGTAAAGTTTATATAATTTTTGTTATAGTTAGCTCACTCAGCTGAAATATGTTAAGATCCATAATTTATTAAAGAATTATAATAAATATTTAAGTTAGTATAATATACGTTTTGTAACGTAAAGGATAAATATTTGTAAATCAAAGTTTCCCAATCAAAACTTTAATCATTTAAGTTATAGAAAAATACCTAAACCCGAGTTTTGTAGCAACTTAGAATTTATTTTGTTTTACATTACATTGCGTATGGCTCTACCGAGCACTTTCAATAATATGTTTCAGCTTAGCTTTATATTTGTCGTAATTAGATTCTTCTGCATATATTATTATCCTTCTATGTGTATTTCTCTAATTTAAAATTCTTAGAATACTTATGCTTGTAGAAATAACATTAACCTAACTAAAGTTGTATTTGTAAAAATTTGTTTACTGTATAATGCCTCCATGCACTAAATTTGTGATTTGATCAAGATTAGATTATACTCTGATCTCTATACTGAACTGGATTGAGAATTGACCCATACATGTAATGTCATCAGAGGTTATAAAGTGGCCATGTTATTGTGTTCATGGTCATATTATAAATTGCTAAGACGTACTGTAGTTTTTAAAATGAGATTTTAAAACCTGCATCTAATGTATAAATGCCAATTTATGTTGCATTGAATTGAATGAGGCGAAATTTGAGACTGAGCATAATTAACATTTGTTTTCAGCCCGGTCTTTTCTATTAGTTTAATTATGATACTCGATTTCGTGCATTTTCAAATTTCATACAGCTTTTCCAAATTGTTTAAAAAAGATTTTATTGTAAATATTCAAAGGGACAAGTGGTATTTTGAAGAAGATTGTTTTGAGAAAACAGATCAAAATGTCCATCTGACATAATGTTTTGCCTACTATATTTTTCATTTCCTGAGCACCTAAAAAAAAGGTATATTAAGATTATGACTTAGGAGTAGACTCTTCTCACTTCTAATTATTCAAATATTACTTTATGCTGTTGAAATTTGAGTTAAGTGTTCATATCATTAGAAAACTTCTTTTGATGGTCAGCTGTTTAGTTTTTAGTTGTTTTTTTTTTATTGTTGAAGACTTTATTCTAGGTAACGTTTTTATAACAAAATTAAATATGTTAATAGTCCTCCCAATAAACTAATCAACAGAAAAGTCTAAGCATACTTGAAATTAAATGTTCATAATAATATATTCAGTATCTGATCAAGAACATAACATCTCACTCGGCAGTTATGACATCGCTGCTATATCTAGGAAGGTTCATTTCTATATATAAGCTAAAACAACAGTGCTCATTGGTATATAGACAGACAGTAATTTTCATCTTGAGTGACACTATAACATTTCTGTAGAGGGTAGTATATTTAATAACAAACATGATAATAATTACAATATTCAAGCAATAAAGCAGGTTGTACATGTAATGAAGTTCTTATTTTTTTAAAAAGGGGAAAATGTAAACGGTTTAACTAAAGTTTTGATTTAATTATATATATTGTGATTTATATCGTGTCAAAAAGAGGACACCAGTACCAAAATACACCAATTCAAGCACATCTGACAATGTTGCTCCAGATCCAGTTATCTAGTATAACATCCAGACAAAGCAATGCTAAAGATCATGTCCTTCTAGATCATAGCTACCATGTGTGTGATACTCCTGCAACCAACAAAAATAAAAATAGAAAACAGTTGGTCATTTGAACACAACTAGAAATAAATAAAATTATTTTGTTAGAAAAGGACAAGCATTTAAAACGAAGTGTTATTTCATTAATATTGGTTGTACAAGCTCTAAAAAAAATATCCCCTTTGTTTTTGTTATGCTTAACAACACTTTTTCTGATATTCCTTTAGAAATCTTTAAATGGGCATTGCTTATTAATTAAAAGAAAAACTAAACTGACTCACGAAGCATATCCTATAGTTTTTGCGGAATTTGGCTTTGGCACTGCAGTTTTACCCCACCAAAGCCTACAGTTCTGTGTGACATACATTCATTCTTTAGCTACTACATTTATCTGTTATTTTCGAGTTATATCAGAGAATTAATGGGGAACCAGGTTCTACAGAAGAGGATTTAACTCATTACAACAAGTGGCAAAAAGGGGAAAAAAGAACCAGTAAAGATATTTGTACTTTAATGCTAGATAAAATGGTCATAAGAAATATTTATAGTGGGATTAAAAAAAATCCTTAGCTATGTTGATGTTGGTGCAGATACAGAAGACGATACAATTCGTCTTACCTATGGTATTACTATTTATGGTTATCTATCTAAACAGCAAATGGAAGAAGTCTGTTGGTTTCTTTCTTCATTAATGACATGACAGGACAAGAACGAGCATACTTAGTGAAAATATGCCTACAAAAACTGTCAGATGTTAGATTACAACTGTGGCACTTGTTTGTAATAGTTCCAATATGTCGCTAGAAAACTTACAGCCATAGTTTTTCACCCTAGCAATGAAAACATAAACAGTTGTGTCTTAAAATTTTATATGTCCACATGCTAAAGCTCGTTTGAAACACTTGTACATGATCAAACTTTAAAAATTGGAGATGAAGAATATAATAACTGGCAGTTCATTAGTGATTTGCACAAATGGCACAAACAAGAAGGCTTGTACCTAGGGAATAAATTAAGATCTACGTACATTCAATGGCAGAAGCACAAAATACAAGTTAATCTTATAACACAAACTTCAAATTCAAGTGTGGCATGTATCACAGAGCTTCGCAACAAAGACTTGAACTTATTCACAAAACTGAACTAACAGGTTGACTAATAAAGTCGCTAAATCAATAATAAATCAATCATCTAATTCAGTGTAACTCGCGTATCTATACTGCTGAAATTATTTCATGAAATTTCAGAAGGCTTTAGTCAGTGAACCTCGTCCATCACGTGATGTGAAAACTCCTGCTGGCAAAAAACACAACGTGTCTAAATTCAAATATATTGTCGATAATACACATGATTGAATACGCTATGGTAAAACGATTCTGAAGATGCAAATCAGAAAGCCAAGTTAAAACTACGGCCAATATAGAATCACGGTGGTACGGATGTATCAGAACCTCGGTTTTATGTTGTTTGGCGTTACTGCTTTCTGGAAGGATGTGTAACAACCTTTCTATCGTAAAATATTTATATACTCAAACCTTAATGATGTGTTCAGATCATGGGTTAGAATTTTCAAGACAATGATATCCATTGTACTTAATGGTATTAGAAAATAATAGAGTACAGATCAAACAGTAGCCCCAGGATCATCCAGGAAAAGAAATGCAAAAAGTCGAAACCCAGCTGTGGTAAGCAAAGTGTGGTGTATTGTAACACATGAGGTTAATAGTAAAAGCCAATCACATGCCCTAGGCAATAATATGCAACATAACGAAGAAGGATCTCCATCTATAAAATTCACACAAGATGTTTCCATGACATATCCATTTAACCATCACATGCCTCATGTAGTTGGAGAATGAAACGGGTACTCATGTTATTCCATGCAAAAATATACTATAGAATTCACCAGATTTTATGGATTTCTGTGGAATCGGGCTGTTAAAATGGGCGCTGAGAAATTGTCGTTCACATAAATTAGATGCTTTGTGGAAAGTTTGCGAGGCTTAAGAATATTACATACATAAACAGAACAATTGAAATAGCAACTCTAAATTTACCTCATTTCAAACAGGCTAATTCTAAATAATAGATGTTGATTTAATATTTCAGATCCAATATGTTTGGAGGGTTAAGTGTGAAGCTGAGCATGTTGATGTAGCTTCTATTGGTTTCACGTTTCTGCTTTTCAAAACGTGTACAAGAAAGTTAAAACTTGTAGGACATTAATTATATGAGTTGCTTGTATCAAATAATATACAATTCGAGGTGCTGGTGAGTTACTTACTTTACGAATACCGTGATAATGGAAGAAACTGATTTTTCCAAAACGTACTTTTCACAAAGCATTAATTTGCAGTTAAAATCTTAATGAACTTCTAAAATAAATAAACACTAAATATCTATAATCCTTCACATATCACAGTAAAATTCATTACTCTTGTATAAAGAGAGAGAGAAATACCGGCAATGTCTATTGGTAACTACTTATTAAGGTCCATTGCTTGAACTGTTTTGTGCTCGACACTGTAATAGTTTTATAGACAAACAATCAACAGTGTGAAAACAAGCCAATTGAACCAAGATATGTCGGTGTTTCAAATCTTAGGGTGATTTTGTCAAATAATCATGAAAATAGTTATAAAAAGAGATTAATTAATTTAGTTGAGAGGATAAATTCATCGGATTATGTTATTCTTTTTCAACAAACTATAAGTAAGCCAGCTTTACAAATACAGGCAAGTATAGTAACGTTTAACGTAAAATGCACAATACGGTACGTTAACTAAATTAACCACACTTTTCGAAAATAATATTAGCAAGTACTAAGAAACTAGTTTCGATAGTTTCATGTTATATACTCTCCGAAAATCTGCACGTTAAACGTGAGTTGCGCCCCCCAGTGGCACAGTGGTATGTCTGCGGACTTACAACGCTAGAAACCGGGTTTCGATACCCGTGGTGGGCTTTGTGCATAATTAAAAACAAACAAACAAACGTGAGTTGCAAACAACTATAGCCCGAAGAAAACAACTATTTACAATAACCAAACTTGTAACATTCAACAAATGTGAGCATAAATAGATAAGACTAAACAACAAGTTTGATAAGTTAATCAAAACTATAAAAATTCTCAACCTGAAGAAAGTATTTTGAATTTTACTTCTTACAAACTTAAATGTTTAGAAATAATAACTATAGGCTATGGTCTCTCATTTTATTCTAAAAATACAGATCTCAACATAAACTCACGGTGTTAAATCAACCAAAGAAGATAAGAGGTTTTTAACTTCAAAACAGGATTTATAGCTGACGAATTATTTAATAACAATAACATGTTATAGATATTTCTCATTGCTTCATTGAAACTCTAAGAAATCAACAAGAGTGTCGTAATTACTAAATCGACCAAAACAAGTCAAACTGTCACATTGGATAAAATAACGTACGATAAAAACTGTATGATCTTCTAGAACACAAGACTATCTATGAAAAACTAAAAACCCACTCCTTTGAAAGTTACTGGCTTTGCAAGTCTCATCATTCTATTAGTGCAGATTATCTGAACCTTTTAAAGTATTTCACATGTATCAACTCTTCACTAGCACAAATGTACAGTCATCCCAAGACACATAACGATAATTGTCCTCCTAGATCTATCATTTTCAAATTTACGAACTATAACACCTCTAAAGGAATTTCAGTTGTTTTCTACTACATGTATCCTCAAAGACAAAATTATTCTGATAAGGCTGTATAGAGCTGAACAGAACACATTTAAATGTCGAAAATTGTTTATTAGTCTTTCTAATACATTGTTCCAAAAGTGTGGTATATTTTTGATGTTAATGTAACAGTGTTCTTACCTTTGCATCCCTAAAGTTTGAACGAATCATTCCTCAAAGCTTCCTTTTCTATAGAAGAAAGAAAAAGTTAATTCAAATGTTCAGCATTTTGTACATATTTTTTCCTTACTGCGTCTTTCTTAAATGTTTATCCACTGTGCTAAATAATGATTCTCAAATTTTGTGTTAATGTATTATACAGATCTGTACAGTCTTTCATTGATGACTATGTTGTCATCAAGGTAACTTAAAACGATAACTAAATGATTAAACTCTAGTAACATAAAAAGCACCATTATTTTTAAGGAGGTGTACAAAAGTAGTTGAAACAAAAAGTATAAGTATACAATTTTAGTCATGTTGATAAAGCTATATAATTTCCCATGTCAATAGATTTCATTTTTGTGTTTGATTATAAGAGACGTTAGTCTGGAGAAAGTTTGAAGTTTTTCTTTTTAGACATTTTTATTATTTCTTGTTGAACTATACAGAGCTATATCGTGAATTCATACTTGAACACATAATCTAACATACCTTGTTGAGCAGTCAACCACAATATATATGATGGTACATATCGTGTTAATAAAGTTTTTTTATTCTTAACTGGTCACATATATATGTGGATCAGAATATGTCACCGTGGGCACAGTCGCAACCGTTACATAAAATAATATTAGTTTTCTATGAGATAAAATATTGCCCTTATTGGTTAGTTTTGCAAATATAAATAAAAATGGTTTGTATTTACTTCATCCGAAAAAACTCATGACTCAAAAAGATATGTATATATATATATTTCAAACAGGTATTCCATAATAGTTTGTACAAATTTCAATCTCCAGAGGAGTGAAATCGAAGACATATTACGAAGTACTAAATTAATTATGCCTTAAGACAACTATACGGATAGCTTTAAACAACTACGTGACTTACTTTAGTAAATTCTGAACTAATACTTTTAAATCTATAATCGTTGTAATAAATAAATCACATTGGAAATATTGCAAATGGATCACATGTATGAGGATTGCACTTTTTAGCTATTCAACAATGACGAAAATCACTTATCTAAAAATAAACACATTTGTATGAAAATAACATATCTGGCCTTATATTGTGCCAAACTTCGCAAGTCTTGCTTCAGCTAAGCTGTGCCTTAAGTATTATTAAATGGCAAAGTTGAAAGAAAAAAATGAAATGTCTTATTTTGTAATAGTATCAAAGATTGATGCATGTATGTAATTTCATAGTCAGTGGTAGTATTCACACATAAACTTAAAATAATTGATATAACTTTTATACAAAGATCAGAAATTAATTGAAAAAATAATCCAAGGATAAATCTACAAACTTCGTGAACAGTTACTTATTACTGAAATCACGTTTTCTTACCTCTCAAGCGTATGGATTTAATTATTCTAGGTTCAAGATGGATGATCCACAAACCTGGTGCTTTACCCAACTGGAAACAGCAGCCTCGGTAATATTCTTTATAAATACAACATACAACTCCTAACATCTGGTGTTTACGTGAAATCACAAATGTATTGGGTATACAGACACTATTACATTAAGGACTGGAAGTAATTTACGGGGAATTGAAGACGCTGTTCAAGGACAAAGCTTGAGATTCTGAGGAGAAGTCCAATTACTTTTTATCGTGATTAATTACACAGACGTCCAGTAAGCTGTAGCTCTACACATGAGGGTTGTCTGAACTGAAAGAGAAGCAGTTAAAGGGTTAAATAAGAGACTCGTCTGATAACACAATGTTGTGTATTTTATCGAGATTCAGTTATTAATGTATGAATTATTTGACATTGAATCTTAACTTTGATAAGGAAGGAAGGAGAGTGATGGGTAAAATGGAAAGTTAACGTTACACTTGGTGTATACAGTTTCAAAAAAGAATGCCCCCCCCCAGTAGCACAGCGGCATGTCTGCGGACTTACAACGCTAGAAACCGGGTTTCGATACCCGTGGTTGGCAGAGCACAGATAGCCAATTGTGTAACTTTGTGCTTAACTTTCAACAAACAAACATCAAAATATAATTTAAAATACTTTTTTGTTTGTTATTTAGAACAAAGCGGCATTAGAGATGTGCCCACCGCAAGTGTCGAAACTCGTTATTTTAAGTTCATAAACCCACAGACTTATCACTGAGCCAGCAGGAGGTTTCGAAAATAATATACATATAAAAATTGTAAAGAAACAAATAGTTTTCAGTACTTTGTCACTAAAGCTATAATGCACAACGGTAAGCACTCATTTGATAAAACTGTGTAAAAAAAGTGAGATATCATTATATGGATATCATTGTTTCATAGATTTAGTATTCATAAATTACGAGTTCCTTTTTATCACTATGTAAACTAACTCGTACTAGAGTGAGACTGAAAATAGGCCGATATAAAAGAATAATTACTTTGTTATGAGACTCAGAAGTTAATCAGTTTGTTTTTTTTCTGTTAAATTTATAAATTTTTAATTTATTTATTTTGTTTAGTATTTTTACGATACATTCTTATGTACATAAATCACTTTAAATTGCAGTAGGAAAAGGAAAGCAACGACATATCGAGTGCTTTTTGATTGAGTTTTATATTGGAACAGGATCTTTCCAGCTTATCAAGAAAGTGTTTTACATGATGATATTCCCTAAGAAGAATAAACAGTATCCATATTTGTTTATAAACTATGTATTAAAGTTCAATTGATCATTATTACTATAAAATGGTTTCATGTTCGTCGCAAAATAGTTTTTGTTTTGTTTTTCATTTCATATGTTTGATTATATAATAATTCGTTAAACATGTAGAAAAATCAAACTTTTATAAAACGTATTTTGCAAATTATTGTGAATTTTTATTCAGAGTAATGATATTGATTGTATAATAATAGTATTATTTGCAGGTTCGCTAGTAAACTTACAGATAAGGATAGTAAATGAATTTAACTAAAGGAGAAGCTATTGCTGAATTAAAACTGAAATTTTGAGTTGACTGACTTGAAGAGATGGGACTAGTTAAAATCTCGAAAAAAAGTAAAAATAAGTCTTTATTCAAACAAACAAAAACTCACCCTGCACCCATGACAATACTGCTCCACCTTCAATATCGTGGGTATCAGTATCCAGCAGGAATGGATAATTTTCTATTGGAAATGCTATCACTAGTGAAGAACATTTAAGTTCTGAAATGCAGTCCATAATCTTCATTAATTTAAAATAGACAACAGCTATGCAATGATCTTGCAAAATTGGCCACAAATCATTAGTAATACGAAGCAAAACCTAGGAATTTACGTTTATTTTATTTTTCAGGGTTGAAGCTAATCCTTGAATGTTTCAACCTTCACTGGGCTGATCGAAAAACTGCAAGTCACACAATGTGAACAAGAAAGTTCACTTGGCTTTAATGCCAAGCCTCTCTTTCTTATCTGCTGAAAAACCATTTCAATGTTTTCAGCAGTAGACTGAAACAAACAAGCAAACACCCTGTCAGTATAAGTTCCATCAGCCACTCGAAAGTAGCAGATGCCTTACACAGTCTGAATGGTATGATGGAAAATTTACACAGACCATTTCATACTGAAAGCAGCTTAATCATCCAGCTTACCTTGCTAGGATCCAGAAGACAGGCCTAAAATGCTGAACAAACAAATATTATAATATGTATCCGTGGTGTTAGAAAAACACGTAGGTTCAAGAAGTCTTGATAAAAATGAATAAAAATCCTATAACCCAAGCGCTTTCGAAAGGTGTAATTAGTTTGCACCTGAAGAAGATAAGTCCACCTTTCAAAAGCGCTCAGGTTATAGAGTTTTTATACATTTCTTCCAATGTACCCGGATATTCGTATGTCCATAGAAGTGGAACAGCATCACTGTGGATCACCATGTTCACACATCCAAAATAAAAACAGAATTTTAGTTCGCTTTCATTCTTTCTGAAAATTACCACTGGAAATAACAAACACGTTTCAAAGACTGTGTAATTCCAAATCGAAACAGGGCTCTATTAGTTTTCTGAAGCCACAATGGTTGCAGCTTTAGCATACTTTGATCCTGCAACACCTTCTTCGTAGTTGTGTAGAAAAAGCAGTTTCGCTCAATTTTCTGCATTAGATGATAATGCATTTCACTTTGTAGTAATCTACGTGTCTACAACGAAAGCATATTCATCTGTTTTCTCTTCTAGATTGATGTCTAAGTAAAATTAGAAGCAATGACAACCATTATGGGAGACTCTAGGAGCTATTAATAAGACTTTCTAAAGAGAAAATAAAGAATAAGGCATAATAATATATCACCCACATTATATCTGACACAACCAGTGCTAATAAGACCTTTTTTGCTCAATACCATCGCTATTTAAGCTGGTTGAAATATAATAGACACATTAGTTGTCAAGATGCTATTTACAATAGTAAACTGCTTAACAAATACTTATGGTGTGAATTGTTACCCTGTATTATTTGATCAAGGTTCTGAGGCATGTCTTTGGCTGAGTAGTACTTGGCGTTCCATCTCAGAGTATTGTCTGATTGAGGTGAAGCCACTTCAACACATGCTGTCAGGTTGTTCCTCTCTTGTGACCTGCTCAAACTTACAACTTTGAACCTAGTCATGACAAATACTATCTACATGTCTCTAGTATCCAGATAACGTTACATCATTTTACTTGGTAGTCCCTCAACAAACTTATTCATGACGATATCCTTACAAATTGCTGATGTCTTAGTAAGTATGCCTTTCCACATAGGAAACGCATATCATTCGCATCAGTGGCCAACTTCTCTGAGAAACGTCTTTAATGAAAATTGAAACCCTTGAACTTGGCACAATAGATAGCTGTATTCCACCAGATCAGAATGTTGGCAGAAATCAGTTACAACTGTATCGTATTCACGGTCGTGTTCTTCCTCCTCCATGTATTCGATTGAGTCAAGTGCTGGTCTATCCAAACTTAACATTTAGCATTCCATGTCTTGTCCTTAAATCCACCTGTTACAAACAATATCCCGTCAGAAATAGTTAAGGAAACAGTCAAGTCTTTCTTTGTGCCACCTTAAACACTGGAAGAGAAATCTGTTTGACCTCACTCACTGTGAAACTCAAACATGTGTAGGGGAATCTCAGCCAATACCAGGCTGAGACAAACTTGGTATCAAAAGCAATGGGGATGATTGAAACCCGGGAAGCCCAACATTTAGAATAATGCTTAGTCTCCGTTTCTGGGTGACAAGCTACCTTGAAAATCATCTTCCAGCCACTTGATTCCTGTTTGCCACATGAGAAACCATTTATATTATTCAAAGCTCACTCTTTCTTCTGGAGGCAAAACAGCTTCAACTGGTGGACTATCCTGATTGTCCTGACTGCCTTACATTGACCTATCCACTTAGTCCCAAGCCCATCAACTCAAACGTCACCACAAAGACTCTTGTATCCCTATAGTATATGAGCCAGGGGTAATGTTCAAGAGTACAACCTGATCAGCTACTCTGTACGTTTCATGCTCCAGTTCTCCTTTCTGAGTTGGTAGTCAGATCTAGATTGTAGCAAACTACTCTCTTTGTTCATAAGTTCTTTGTGTGGAAAATGATATTTTCAAATGTCTCTGATGAACAATTCTTATGCTACAAAAAAGTACAATAGAGCATAAGTACACTCATAAAAACAAATCCGGTGATCACGAACCAAAGTCCAACATTCTAACTTATTTTGTGGTATTCTCAGTTTCAAGGATAACTTTACAGATAAGGATAGTAACCACAGAGAACGGGAGGAATTGCAAAAAATGTATCATGGAATTCAGTCTAAGGCTTTGGTTTAACTGAGTTGAAAAGAAAAGACTTAATGCAATGGTAAGCAAAGTAAAATCAATTGTTTTTCAAAGCAACAAGTCCAAATAGACGAGCGCATGTAGCATCAGATAATGCTACTCTCTTGGACCTGATGAGAGCTATAGTCAGAAAATATCTAGCTGTATAAGATCTGTTCTGTTCTGAAAAAGATTGAAAACGCACAGTGTAATATACAAACAATAATATCACCCCTCTCACGTCACTGATCATTCCCTTTTGAAGTACTACAATAAAATACTATGTACCAGTCGTATGAGATGTAAATTTTACTATGCTCCATTATTTTATTTTTGTAAGATCTGAAAGTTTAGTCACTTAATCTGTATTTGTCAGGAGCTATTTATAATAATTTGATGTTATGTTTTGTCATTATATATGTTTCGGTAAGGTTTTGTTGTGATAAGTGAAATGCTGAATTACACATCACTCTCCAGGTGTCTGAGAAAATTGTTTGCTGCTCTAATAAATCGTTCATGATGTCTCATTATAAAAAGTACATACGTAGATGTTTAATATTGCATGCATTTCCCAGTTTAAGGGTATTTGTGTTCCATCTTAATAATGATCATATATGTTACAAAATATGCAACATTTTGGCCAAGACTGTACAAAAAACACAGAAGTTGTCAGAACACACTAATAATTCTTGAAAATTC